TGCCTTTGCTGTTTGCATCATGCAGAGCTCACTGACTTGTGAGTTTGAGCACTCTGGCAAGGTATGTTCGGTCCTGGTTTAAATCTGGCTTCCGACAATATTATTTTCATTGCTATCAGGTTCGGTCTCATTTTCTCTGTGCTGCGCTGATGAGTCCACAAAGGACGAAACAGTATGCTGTCCGCAGATTGAGTATTGTTTTACTATGAAATGTGCACAAGTGTGGATCATACCATGAGTAAGAGGGTAGGTACTCTGCCGAATATTTATGTTTGTTTTTTCTTCAGACTTTCTTCAGACTTTTCCCGTTTGTCTCTTTCCCTCAAACCAGTTAATATTTTATGACTTGGGGCTCCCCGCGTGCTAGTTTGTACGTGAAGTGTGTAGGTTACAGTGAGGGCTGCGTCCCACCCGCCTGTGTGGATTCACAGGAAGTGTGAGTTACGAAGTCTGAAGAAAATATTGAACGGCCTCTGCTGGGATGACGACTACACCATAGCTCAGTGGTTAGAGCATCGCTGGCTACAAGCGAGGGTCCCTGGTTCGAGTCCTGGTGGTGACAGTCAATTTTTTCTTCAGACTTTTCCCGTTTGTCTCTTTCCCTCAAACCAGTTAATATTTTATGACTTGGGGCTCCCCGCGTGCTAGTTTGTACGTGAAGTGTGTGGGTTACAGTGAGGGCTGCGTCCCACCCGCCTGTGTGGATTCACAGGAAGTGTGAGTTACGAAGTCTGAAGAAAATATTGAACGGCCTCTGCTGGGATGACGACTACACCATAGCTCAGTGGTTAGAGCATCGCTGGCTACAAGCGAGGGTCCCTGGTTCGAGTCCTGGTGGTGACAGTCAATTTTTTCTTCAGACTTTTCCCGTTTGTCTCTTTCCCTCAAACCAGTTAATGTTTGTATATTTCCTGAGAATTTAGCACGAGCAAGAAGATGAGTGGCACGGGGAACACATCATACGGATTTATCCCATGGTACTTTTCCAAATATGGAATGTGACCAGTGCTAAATCTTCCTGACCTATTCTTGGCCGCGTGAACCATGCGAACCGAGCGGGGTATATCTCTTTTTTTCCGAAGCGAGCGAGGTATATCGTGTACCAAGCTGTATCGGTGAATATCCACTGCTCAGAACGGCTGCTGATTTACTGAAATCGGCCCAATCGCAACGCACTGGCATGGGGGTAGAAAAGGCAAAACTGACACGAACTTCTAGTTCTAGTCACCAGAAAAGTCATACCACAACTGCAATGATTGCATCATCAAATCAATATTAATTTTATAAAATAAATGATGAGATTGTTCGCATTTCAAAATTCTAAGGAACGTCTCGCGCAGCTTCATTTGACATAATTCATTTATTTATATTTCCCTCAAACCAGTTAATATTTTATTTTTATTTATTATTTTATTTTATTCCAAGCAATACATGAACCAGGCAGGCACAGTGGGTTGGTCAAAGACCATGATTGAGATACGAGAGGTACCTGGTTCAAGTCCTGCCTGGAAGCGGTTTTTCCAGCCGTGCTGCTACCCCCAGTCAACTGGGAACTTGTGGCCAGGCACAAGGGGTACATGGATGCAGCTAATGGGGTCGCTTTCGGCACTTGTGCCAGTGGTTGTGAGACTTACCCACTCACCCCCACCGTTAGGCGCTGCATCTGCCGCTAGGGTTTATCGGGTGTTAGCGGCCGTCGTGAGTTCCCTTCGGGAACGGATACGATAATTTACTTTTAATACATGGCTGGGGTAGCCAATGACCACTTTGCGTGGCGATTGCAGGGTTTTTATAGCCAACCATGGCTATTTCATTTTTGCATTTGCACTTCAATCATTAAATTTGGTGATCCTGAGACTTTATGGTCCTTTGAAATACAACAGTGGGAGAACTTTGCCAATAACTGTCAGGACAGGACAGGTGGAAGACATTTCATCAAATTTTGCACAACTCTCTGGCTTAACGGTGTTCTCATGGGATTATTCTTACACGCTTGCCCCAGTAATAGGCAGTATCGCCAGTATCCCCAATATCCCTATTGAGCTCCTCCTGCAGTCCTGGACTGCTGACAGCGTGCATGGTACTGTGATTATGACTCTACTGCCAGTACTGGCCGTTTCAATGTTTGTACATCTGATAAACCTAGCTTGATGCGGCCCCTGTGTACATGTCGCAAGCCACTGGGATTATAGCTTATCTCGACTTCAGGAAACGTACGCCAGCAGCAAATACATAATTCAACGTCACACACCTTATCCGGTAACCGCCTCCGCTCGACGTGGGCTGCACGCTTCACTGACGCTTTGGCTAGCTCACCTGTTGGCGAAGGACTTCCGGAGCTGGATACCGCCTCAGGTACTCGCTCAGCTAGCGAGACCATACTCGTCTACGCTTCTCTCTAAAGCACCTAGCCCGAAGTCAACTGACTCGCTACAGAGCCAACTGCCAAGTATAGGCACCAAAAAATTGCAAACAAACACACGCTACATTATAGTTTACAAACTAATAATCGTACTTTTAGTTCTTCCCAGATCCTAGGATCCTCGAGTCAGAGGCAAAATCACTTTGAACGTGATGATGTGCACAAAAACTTGAAAAGGCACATCATAGTACTGACTACTACTGTACTAGTACTGTAGTAGATCTACTAGTAGTAGATCTGCTAGTACTGACTCATGTGCGGCCAGTGTTCATGGACCATGCCCATGGACATGGTGTCACCACTGCCAGTGCACTCTACTCTCTAGTCTAGACTCTGTACTGACTGTAGTCTGTAGCGCTATAGCCGGTGCACTACTACACTGTACTAGTACTACAGTGTACAATCATGATTGTGTATAACTATAAGAAAGGGTTTACTCCCACCACATACACCAACACCTATTGCTGATCCACACCCTACCTAGACTCTCTCCCACATTTATCAACCCGACAATACGCCACTCCACCTTCTAAGCACACCAACACCTTCTACCAACCTACACTTCTACCCGAAGGGTGTAGAGGGGACGGTTTCAAATAGGACACCGGTTGCAAACCGGAACGGACTCAATATTCACTTTCTCTCTTGGTATTTTGATTAGAAAACATATGTCACAGTGAGACTACTATGTGTTATACTCCGAGCCAAAATTTCATGGCTCTGCGATGACCAGAAGCGCCATATCAAGCAGGTGAGTTTTTGACGTGTTGCTTCGCACTGCGACTTGAGTTTTACGACTTTCGAAAAATCAACTTCTTGTCGCAGGTAAACAGCGGCTCGCCTCTCGCCAATAAAGCACCGCATACCAATCAAAACTAATGGAAGCACACACAAGGCTTATTGTTACTCTATACTGGCCGTCGTGGAGCGATAGCAATTACCTAATTATTTCAGACCCAGAGTGAATTTGACGTGCACTCTAAAACGTGTCCGGTTTGGAGCCACCTCTGATTTGAACTTTTTTGAAGCGAAAAATTGGGCAACTTGGAGGCAATGGGTCAACACAAAGGAGTGGCTCAGTTCGATTGACTCTGGCCCCAGAGCAAACTTCAACATGCCAGTTTCCTTCCACAAACATATTTCGAGGGAAAAATCAACGCTGATGATCGGTTTGGGTCTATACAAATTTGGCTGTCAAAACGTCCCGGTATCGAGCCGTCTCCTCTACCCCTTCCCACCTGTATCGACCCGCACCTAACCTTCACCATTAACTTAGATACATGTATTTCCCACCTTCACCTTCTCACCTCACCTCATCTCACCACCATCACTCCCTATTAACCCGTGCCACCACCCAAAGCCCTCCATTCTTTATCCACTGACGATGTTGTTCAGAACAACGAATCGTCTGGAGAAGTATCGTAAAAATTTCTATCGTTATTAAATGTTATCAAATATACCACTCTTTGGTCTAGAAAGAATACTTTTTGATATATCCCACGTAAGTCGTCGTCCCTCCTGATCACCAGAGGTAACAGCAGCTGCAGAGACTGCAGGATTTGAGTTCGGCGCAGACATTCTGGTCGTGAAAACAAGAACCTCAGAAAAAAAATGTCGAAAGGAAAGGAAAATTCTCATGTGATCGCGGTACGAAAAGTCGACAGACCAAACTTCGTTGGATTGATGTTTTCCGCGAGTGTGTGTCCCGAAGTTCGTGGCAAGTTTCGTTACTCGTCCCTGGGCTTCAAAATCTAACGAAAATTCAGACGAATTTCGTTGTGCTAAACCTCTCTAGTGACTGATTTGAGGGAAAGAGACAAACGGGAAAAGTCTGAAGAAAAAATTGACTGTCACCACCAGGACTCGAACCAGGGACCCTCGCTTGTAGCCAGCGATGCTCTAACCACTGAGCTATGGTGTAGTCGTCATCCCAGCAGCTAGCAGAGGCCGTTCAACATTTTCTTCAGACTTCGTAACTCACACTTCCTGTGAATCCACACAGGCGGGTGGGACGCAGCCCTCACTGTAACCCACACACTTCACGTACAAACTAGCACGCGGGGAGCCCCAAGTCATAAAATATTGACTGGTTTGAGGGAAAGAGACAAACGGGAAAAGTCTGAAGAAAAAATTGACTGTCACCACCAGGACTCGAACCAGGGACCCTCGCTTGTAGCCAGCGATGTGCTAACCACTGAGCTATGGTGTAGTCGTCATCCCAGCAGAGGCCGTTCAACATTTTCTTCAGACTTCGTAACTCACACTTCCTGTGAATCCACACAGGCGGGTGGGACGCAGCCCTCACTGAGTGCGTTCGATTACACACTTGAATCGATTCATGAATCCATTCGCATGCATTCAAGTCGTTCGATTTCATGTCATGAGCCCTGGAATCGATTCGGAATCCATTCCCTCTATTCACATGGGGTGATGTGAATAGCGCGAATCGATTCATGAATCGATTCGTGAATCGATTCGCGCGTGTAATCGAACGCACTCACTGTAACCCACACACTTCACGTACAAACTAGCACGCGGGGAGCCCCAAGTCATAAAAAATATTGACTGGTTTGAGGGAAAGAGACAAACGGGAAAAGTCTGAAGAAAAAATTGACTGTCACCACCAAGAGACAAACGGGAAAAGTCTGAAGACAAAATTGACTGTCACCACCAGGATAATGATAATAATAATAATAATAATGAAGGAAAGACAACGTGATAACACATAACAGCAGTACATTACACCTAGAACATTAACGGCCAAGCTTGGCCGCACTAAACACGACACGTTACTTGAACAATTTCAACCCAATTATACTATCTTTCTGTACACACAAATTAGGCTTGTACAGACGCTGATAGATAGCTTCCAACACTTTTAACTGTAGTCCATAACCATGACGACCACGGCACAATACAGTGAACGAAGAGTCGGAGAGCAGTGATGGGAGTGATGGTGAGAATGCCGGTGAGAGTGTTAGTGTTGTGCGTAGGTTTCGTGGTAGCAAGTCTTCAGTGTACAATCATCTGCTAGCTAGTCCTAATTGTTGCAATTCGTATTCCGACTCTTCGTTCACTGTATTGTGCCGTGGTCGTCATGGTTATGGACTACAGTTAAAAGTGTTGGAAGCTATCTATCAGCGTCTGTACAAGCCTAATTTGTGTTTACAGAAAGATAGTATAATTGGGTTGAAATTGTTCAATTAGCGTGTCGTGTTTAGTGCGGCCAAGCTTGGCCGTTAATGTTCTAGGTGTAATGTACTTCTGTTATGTGTTATCACGTTGTCTTTCCTTCCTTTCTCCTTTGTTCATTTCGCGCTTTGATTGTTAAAATAATAATAATAATAATACGAAGTAGTGGTTGCGACTTCGGCGATGATTTGTAAGAAATGGTTTGCTCCCCACACCGGAGCTCGCGCTATTCCGCCGACTTTACTTGACACTTGACTGACTCACGACTGCCATCCAGAGCACACGAGAAGTCCATCGAACCTTCGACTCGGCAAACCTGAAAGAAAGCACCACTCCCTGCTCAATACACAGTGTTTCGGGGAATTCACCCCTCATCAGTTGAGCTTGAGTAGGCTGAGGAAGATTGTGCCTGAAGAGCACCACTTATATAGTGCTCTCCAGGCACAAACATCACCAGGGATACAAACTTACAGAGACGCTCCGTTTCAAGCGCGACAAACACCTCGTGAACACCAGATAGCAGCGTGAGTCAGTGTCGCTCCTGGACGGTGAGACAGACGTCGAGGACCCTCGGTCATTCGCAACGCTGTCACCTCCAAACCAACTAGTCGCAAGCCCGCGCTGGGCACAACAGTACGAAGTAGTGGTTGCGACTTCGGCGACGATTTGTAAGAAATGGTTTGCTCCCCACACCGGAGCTCGCGCTATTCCGCCGACTTTACTTGACACTTGACTGACTCACGACTGCCATCCAGAGCACACGAGAAGTCCATCGAACCTTCGACTCGGCAAACCTGCAAGAAAGCACCACTCCCTGCTCAATACACAGTGTTTCGGGGAATTCACCCCTCATCAGTTGAGCTTGAGTAGGTTGAGGAGGATTGTGCCTGAAGAGCACCACTTATATAGTGCTCTCCAGGCACAAACATCACCAGGGATACAAACTTACAGAGACGCTCCGTTTCAAGCGCGACAAACACCTCGTGAACACCACCAGATAGCAGCGTGAGTCAGTGTCGCTCCTGTACGGTGAGACAGACGTGGAGGACCCTCGGTCATTCGCAACGCTGTCCCCATCCGTCCAGGAGCGACACTGACTCACGCTGCTATCTGGTGTTCACGAGGTGTTTGTCGCGCTTGAAACGGAGCGTCTCTGTAAGTTTGTATCCCTGGTGATGTTTGTGCCTGGAGAGCACTATATAAGTGGTGCTCTTCAGGCACAATCCTCCTCAGCCTACTCAAGCTCAACTGATGAGGGGTGAATTCCCCGAAACACTGTGTATTGAGCAGGGAGTGGTGCTTTCTTGCAGGTTTGCCGAGTCGAAGGTTCGATGGACTTCTCGTGTGCTCTGGATGGCAGTCGTGAGTCAGTCAAGTGTCAAGTAAAGTCGGCGGAATAGCGCGAGCTCCGGTGTGGGGAGCAAACCATTTCTTACAAATCATCGCCGAAGTCGCAACCACTACTTCGTACTGTTGTGCCCAGCGCGGGCTTGCGACTAGTTGGTTTGGAGGTGACAGCGTTGCGAATGACCGAGGGTCCTCGACGTCTGTCTCACCGTCCAGGAGCGACACTGACTCACGCTGCTATCTGGTGTTCACTAGGTGTTTGTCGCGCTGGAAACGGAGCGTCTCTGTAAGTTTGTATCCCTGGTGATGTTTGTGCCTGGAGAGCACTATATAAGTGGTGCTCTTCAGGCACAATCTTCCTCAGCCTACTCAAGCTCAACTGATGAGGGGTGAATTCCCCGAAACACTGTGTATTGAGCAGGGAGTGGTGCTTTCTTGCAGGTTTGCCGAGTCGAAGGTTCGATGGACTTCTCGTGTGCTCTGGATGGCAGTCGTGAGTCAATCAAGTGTCAAGTAAAGTCGGCGGAATAGCGCGAGCT